TTCTGATTCGACCAACACCGCGGTCCAGTCATCCTCGGACAGCCTCGCATGAGACACCCCGGAGACACCCCGGAGATGCCCCTCGGATGCCCCCTTCGCACGTGTCTTCTTCCCATTGGACCGAGGTCTGGTCCAATCCAAGCCTCCCACCTTGCGAGCCTGCGGTCCGAAGTAAGCCAATCCTTCGCCACCTATCCGACGCGTGTCAGCCTCGCATAGCCTCGGATCCGAGGCTTCGGCCTATATAAGGCATGCGAGGGTTCCAGATTATTTTACACTTTTCACCCCAAATTTCATTCTCTTTCATATTTCCACTTCCACAAACTCATATACAACCCCTAAAGCCCCGGTATCAAGTCTCGAACCCTAAGCAAGCCTCGAAGCCCCGAGATTCCCGAGAAGTAACCTCTCTCCTGTCGAAACTCTGCCCGATTTGAGCCAGTTTCTCGACAAATAAACTCCTTTTCGTGAAACGAAACTCTGTCCGATTCACCACCTATCAAGTGAGTATATACCCCCGTATTTTCATAATTTCTACTGCTTTAAGGGGGGAATACAAGCATAACACAAGAACTTTGTGTTATAAAATCATGATAAAACAACATTAAATCATTAAAAATACTCAAAACATTAAACTCTTTTATCATCTTATATTTTTCCCCAAAATTCATGTGGGCTTATAGTACCGGTTATTTGTCCGAGTGTCGTTTAAATTTTACTTATATATAAAATTGTATATCTATATAAATATAATAGTTTTTCATCAGTTTAACTACCTTTGTAACATGCTGAGCAAAGGATTACATGCAAACATGGTTAAATACACATTCAGAAAGTACATATAAATTATAATAGGTATAATTTATACATAGAACAATAATTCATGATTCAAGTATACTAGAATACACAGTCTTACAAGAAACAAGGGTTTTGATACAAAACAAATCAAGGGTTTACACTTATCAAATACATGTTAGAAATTCTAATTCAAGAACATACTGTCAATCATTTATTTCAGAATGATTGGGTTTTGATTCAAGAACATACTGTCAATCATTTATTTCAGAATGATTGGGTTTTCATAACTAATATACATGTAACGTTTATATGCTTTTTATGAGACATTCAATTCAGGTTGTTTAATTCATTTTAGACAACAAGTGTGTGTAGATCTATATCGGGATTGACAACCCCGCACTCAGGCTGCTAGCTACAGTCATGCTTACAAGCCGATAAGTGGCAATTGTTATCACCAGTTTAAACGCCCACAAAGCGTTTGTTTCAGGCCATCCGTCATAGTATGGTTATAATAACTCATTAAAAAGATATTAACAATACGTTAGTGTATAAATAACTAAACGAAAGTACACCTTCAAAGTACCAGTTTACAGAATACAAAATACAAAGGTTCAATACAGTTTTCAATAACAGCTGGTGGAGCCAGGCACACTCTCAGTTACAAGTTTTCATAAAGGAATACAAATACAAAACATTGATACAAAGAGAACGGTTTTATGGGAATAAAACTACTTTTCATATACAACAGAAAATATAGGATTTTCTGGAACAAATTACATATACAAGATACAGAGACATCCTTTAAACATAAATACTTATGCACTCACTCAACTTTATGTTGATACTCTCTTTTCAAATTACTTGTATTCTCAGGGAAATAATACACAGGTACTCCCCGAACTTTTGAGAAGATGGAGCTATGTTGAGTCATATCTTCTTTTGTATAAATATATTTTGGTTCAATATACAATGATTGAACACATGTAAATACTTATACCTTTTAAATACAATGGTTGTTTGTACTTTGATTACTATGATGCATGTGTTGTGATACTACAATTGAAGTCCTCCACCCCCGGACGTTTCCGCCGTCTGGTTTGGGGGTGTGACAGGCAGGGCATGCCAGACTCATACTGAGGACTTAGGAGCATTCCATATATGAGCTGAGGGCCGGGCAGGGCATGCCAGACTTGTACTGTGGGCTCGGGAGCATTCCAAATGCGTGCTGAGGGTCGGGCAGGGCATGCCAGACTCGTACTGTGGGCTCAGTGGCAAGCCAGATGTGAGCTGTTGGCCCGAAAGGCAAGCCAGACTCACACTGTGGGTCCAGGGGTAATTCAGTCTGTAAAGTTGTGGACCCATTACATGCTGTTATTTGTATATGTGATATTTGTTGTGTATCGGTATTTTGGGGGAACTCACTAAGCTTCGGGCTTACAGTTTTAGTTTTGGTTTCAGGTACCTCAGATGATCGCGGGAAGGCAAAGGCGTGATCGTACAACTCCTCACTTTTTATGATTTTGTTTCTGGGAGACTCTAATATAGAACTATTTTGAAAACAAATTTGTAACAACTGTTGGTTTCTAAATGTTTTAAAAATTTTAAATTTGGCATGATTTTTATGAGTGTTACAAGTTGGTATCAGAGCCATGATTTGAGTGAATTGGAGGAACAATCGTGTGAATCCAATCTCAAATCAAGGAAAAGATTTTCAAAATGATTTTAAAAGGTTTTCAAAATACAAAAGGAGAATGCAGAGGGTACGATCAGCCGGAGCCAGTAAGTAGACCCCAAAATACCATACGGTTATGTGATATTGTGATATGTTAGAACAACATGATAGTACTAGGCTAGGGATCTTTAGGAATTGCATGATAGAATTTTCTGATTGTATGATGCCTGATAGCCTAGGGTTTTCCTTATATGAGATTGACATCATTACTGTAGTTTCTTAGTGTGTGCATCACGGTTGTACATAATTAAGATATTATAGCCTGAGAATGTTTGGTTTGACCTTATTTCCTGTTCTTGTTTGATGAAGGGCTTAGGGTAAGATCAGGTATTCGAAAGTCTATAGGGTCCAACGTTGTGTGCTGCAGGCTTGGTGGAAGTTTCATGGGTGGGTTGTGCGAGGCCGGTAGGGCAGTTATGAGATATTTAGCATTCCTCTAGGAGTGAGGATTGAGCGCTCGCCATGTTATGTGTACAGTCATGGCGTTGTGATGATACTTGAGACAAATATGGGTAGGTGTGGAAGGTAGTATGGTCTCGTACTACTGAAAGCACATGACAGTTGCTTCCATCACTTCCTCTTTCAAGCTTGATCTTTTTTGGATTACAATCCTCCAGTTTCTTATGCATCTTGATCATATGAATTTCATAACACCTAAGGTAATATAAGTTCAACCGAATCAAACAAAGAAATCACAATAACCAATTTTCTTCTACAAATACAAACTAGAACAACAAACACTTAACACAAAATCATATTATACACGAACTTACTTACCAGTTACCATGGAGTTAGGACAAGTCATAAACCTCTCGTGATGATTTAAACCACTTCATTAACATTTACCTTAAACTAGGGTTGTAAACGAATCAAACGAAGACAAACAAGACTTGTTCATGTTTGTTTATTTAAGTTTAACTGAACTAACAAATAAACACGAACAATAAACAAACATATTTTCTTATTTGTGTTTTTTTATTTAAAAATTTCTTTATTTGTTTTTGTTTATTAAGATGACAAACAAATATAAATAAACAAACATAAATAACATAAGTATTCAAACAAATGTAACCATACATAATTAAAAAAATTATTAGTAAACCATAGAATACAAAACATCCAAAATCTACAAGACCTAAAATATAAAGATGAGATATGATCTTAATCCAAATATATTCCCGAACAAAATTATATGAACATTTAAAAAGAAATATAAACGAATATTCATGAATGTAATTGAACGAACGAGAACATTGTTCATGTTTGTTTGTTTAACTAAACATACAAAAAAACATGTTCATTTTTGTTTGTTTATTTAACAAACGAATATTAACGAACATTTTGTCAAACGATTTACGAATGGTTCATTAAACGTTTGGTTCATTTACAACTCTACTTTAAACTCATAACCACATCGGATACTTCTATCCCATAAATGATTGTTAATGCTCCCATTAGAAGAGGATGACATCTTTAAAAGTCGCGATCTTCATTTTGGTATGAGAGAAAATACTCCGATAGTGATTTTGAACTCAAAAGATAAAAGGATTAACGAGCTTTTGATGTTTTATTGTACTTGAGGCAAAACGTCAACGTGTTGTTTAAATTTGACTAAGTGACTTTGTTGCCACATCAGATCCACACAACATGTGGCAACAAGGAAAACGGTAATGGTCAATTCAAATGACAAAATCGTGACGAATTCAAGAGTGTAAGGTTTTAGTTTAACACTTTTGATGTTTAGGTACTTAATGATGATATTGAAAAAACTCGTGACAAATATGATTTAATCCTTATCCATAATATCCATAAATCGTTAAATTCCTAACTAAAGAAATTAGTCTTGGAAGTTATTTTCAAGATTTTTGCTAGTTAGTATTTAAATTTTTTAATATTAAAAAAAAATGGTTAGATATATCATTTGTTTTAAAAACATATGCATTTGATAATTTAACGAAGAGTTAGAACGAAGCGGAGTCTTAATTGACAATGAATTAAACTGACAGTTGGTCTTCAATAGACATGTAGTTCAATGATCTTTAAAAAGGAAAAATAAATTTTATTAACTTTAAAATAAACATTTTACTGAACTTCTATATATGTATTCTAGAAATAAATGTTTGATTTTGTATAAATTGTAATGTATTATTGACAAAATGTGAAGGTACATTTTTTAAAAGTGTTTGTGTTATGGTTACTTATACTATATAAACTTTATCGACATAAGTTTTATCTTATAGCTGTTTCTTAGTTATATAAGAACTTAAGTAATGTGATATTTTCATTAAATAAAGCACGAAAAAGGACCGAGAATGACAAGTCTTAAATCCCATACAACGTACAACAAATACTTAATACCGTACAAGAAATATAGTTAAAATACATAAAATCCATGCTACCACGAGAACTGAGATTTCCGACGAGATGATGCATGGCACTTCGAGTTACCGCCGGTCGCCATTATTACCGATCAGAAGCTCCATATGCAGTCCAGTTCTGTAGGACCAGGCTTCTGAATCTCTGCCGCCGAAGAAACCGCAGGCAACCAACTTCCACCGGACGAATTTGGATAGCTGCACATTGTTCCGTCGCCATGAACTGGTGGCTGTGGTGGAGCTACAGACGAGTAGAAGAAAGGGAGCTGGAGATTCTCTTGAAGTGCCCTCAAACTTGGAAAAGAGGAGACGCCGACGTTTTTCTGGTAGTCCATGGCGGGGCCGGTGAAGGTAGAGGCGGATAGAGGAGGCGGAGGAAGGTCAAAAACATACTGAGAGTCATAATTGCTGGCTGAAGCAGTGGAGAAACAGGGTACGTGCTCTTTTGAGGCAGCGTTGCTATCGTACGAGTAGCTGTCGTGGTCGGCGGTGTACGCTGATGTGGCGGAAGCGTAGGGTGACGAGTCTAGAAGCGGCGGAAGAGACACCGACGTCGAAGAGTTCAATTCTTGGTAGCAATTCATTCCGCCAGCTACAGGCTTCATCCCACCGGGGGTGCATGAACCACCAACATTGGCGGGGGTGCCACTCTTCTGAAACACCCGGGAGATTACCCATTCATCCTGATTACCACAAAAACAAAAAAGTTAGAGCTTTTACTTGGATCACCGATCAAGTCCATCAACATCGATGACAGTAAACTGCATGCAAAGCTCAAAACTTTACATCAATGTCGTTTTCATTAAGTAATATATATGTCATACCTTGGAGCTTTTCGAGAGGAAATGGTACGCAAATTTGCCTTCAAGACGATATTCATGCATCACCCAGTTGCTCTTTTCACCTTTCGGAGCCCTACCTCTATAAAACACTAGGGTTTTCTTCATGCCCACTAAAGACGAAGTTTTCGAACTGAAGATCTCCCTATCTTTCCCGGTGGCTTTCCAGTAACCGGCTTCCGTTGCTCTGTTCGTTCTCAGCCCAGTTGGGTACTTCCGATCACGAAGACTGAAAAAGTACCATTCTTTTTCTCCCATTTTCGCTCTTTCTGTTTGATTGAAACCCACAAAACTAAAATCAGCCATTTGTAAAGAAACCAGACGATTAATTGCTAATCACAAAACAAACTTACGAGGAAGCTCCCATGGTTCGCATTTGTTGAGATCAACTTCGGCGATGGCACGACAGGTGAAGCTTCCGTCAAGAACTTTCCGGAGAAGGTAACAGGTGATGAGTTCTTCATCTGTAGGATGGAATCTGAACCCCGGTGGTAACTGTGAGTCGGCATTTTTATCAAACTGGTTGGTGAAAAACTCCATGATCGAGGACAGAAGAACCCAAATGATATTAGAAGAGAAAGAGAAGAGGGGCTGGATTATAAAGGAGTGAGGTTGTGCTTTTATGGTGGATTTGGATCAATAAATGCAAATATTAAATAGGAGGTGTCTTGTTGTGGTTGTCTTGTCTGTAAGTCTACTGATATATATATATATATATATATATATATATATATATATATATATATATATATATATATATATATATATATATATATATATAGAGAGAGAGAGAGAGAGAGAGAGAGAGAGAGAGAGAGAGAGAGAGAGAGAGAGAGAGAGAGAGAGAGAGAGAGAGAGAGAGATGCATGGATTTGTTAGGTGGGGTTATGCGTGCGTGCGTGAAGAAGTGTGCAGGGTATTCCCATGTCAGTGAAGAAAATGAGAGAGGGTAGGAACCAGAGAGTAGTTTTTATTTGCATGTGTATGTGACCTAAAGTTTAGGGGCCTTTCTTGTTCCTTTTCGAAATTTCTCTTTTGGATCATGTATTATACATTTATGGTATATCAGATAATATTAGAACCGACAATATATATTTATGTGTTGTTAATTTCTAAGGGATTTTTTAATATGTAAAATTAATTATAACAAATATTATTATAATCAAATATAAAATATATTTATTATGGAGAATATTAATGCATTTCATATTTATATACGGTAAGAATTCTTATAATTAATTCATTTTATTTTTAATTATAGTAATATTTGTTATAGTAAATATTTTTTATGTGTTATGAGGACACATATTAAGAAATCTATATTTCTAATGGGTTTAATTAGATAGGCTAATTTAATATGTATATATGTATGTATGGATTGTCACTGGCGGAGCTTATAGCCCCCTTTTATTTTATTTTTATAATTAGTTCATAACTATTAAAAAAGTTACATTTTATGCTTAAAACTATAAAATTTGACTTCGGTCCCGTTCTTCAATTTTTATACATATTCTATTTTCGGCCCCCCAAATCAAAACTTCAAGCTCCGCCATTGTGGATTGCTATATGGTCTTTTGGTATGTTTGTGCATTGCATGAGAATGAATATTGAAAATGATTTTTTGATAAAAAGGTACTTGTTATTTGTTTCCGAATAAACTTTTATAGTATTCTACTTGTGCATAACATTCTAGGATAAGTTGGCTTGAGAGTGTTCGCGCACATGAAGGGATCAACTCCCTTATTTGACCGTAGTGGTCGTGGGGATAGACTTTGCAAACTCATTCCTTGGTCATTCTAGTGATGGTCATGAATTTTCATAAAGTTGACCTTAATGGTCGGTAACGTGTTTTGTATTATGTTATTACCCGGTCTAGGCCGAGGAGACCATTGAGACCCTAGTTGAAAGAGACTTACTTGAGAGTAGATGATTGTGTTGGGATTAAATGCATGTGTGTTGCATCATTTATGTAAATTTCATCTACTCTTAAACTTATATATTGTTGAAAATTGTTTTGGAAATGGTTTGATATTTACGAAAATTGTTCTGAAATTTAGTAAATGTTTATAAAAGCTTTTACAAATATTTTTAGGAATCATGACTTACTTTTACAATATTCGATTTTTAGGAACTCATTGACTTAACATATTAATTTGACATGTATTCACAGATGATGTTGAAGACATTATTTAGCAATTATGACCTTTATAAGGTCATAATATGTATGGTTCATCTTAACATTTGTAATGATATTGAATGGAATACTATCGTACACGATCAAACTAAATTTTACGATTTAAATGTTTTGGGACCAAATTCTGTATTAAGATTTTCAAATGATTAAGTAATTTTTTTAAAGAGAAAAACTATACTATTGTATATATATATATATATATATATATTTAAATGTCATGTATCTCGGGCATTCATAAGCAAGGGATTAGAAAGTCGTATAAGGGTGTTTCATATGCATTATTTGTTTTAAATTCCATATATCTCAATTATTCACAAGCAATGGATTAGAAGTGACAAATTTCTAGAATAGGACTTTTCGAAGTCATAGAAATGTGACATAGCATTTGGTACTTATACTGTGTTTTTTTATATATATTGATTGTCACCCTAAAGTTTTGTTATTATTTCAAATAAGGGTTTTTGTTAAATCGCATTCTTGTAAACCCATGACTATATGTCATGAACTTTTAACAACCATAGATTTTAAACCTTTAAAGTATGGGGTGTCATGTGTATAATCCTGCAGACCAACAAAATACATGTTTATTTTTTTCAAATGAAGGTCTTATACCTTTGTGCTTTTGACCCCAACACCCCATTAAACATATCCAATAATATCTAAAGGATATACTAAAGTTTGATGCCTTATTTAACTACTTCATAACACTCTACTCATCCTCCTAAGATCTAGAATGTCGATTCTATTGGATTCATAGATTGCAACTAATGATTCTAGGGTTAATGCAACTCAAAGCTTGTTTTATAACATTTGTTTTCAACTGACTTTCAAAACCATTTCCATCAACCCATACCTCGCCTAAACCAAGTATCCGTACGATCTAGTTCTCAAATGTATAGTTTAAACTAACTTTGAATCAAAATACTGGAATCATCTTTAAAATCTCATAAATTACCAGTGGAGCCCCAAATTAAGCTTATACTCAATTTGTTAGTCCAAATAATGAATCTCATGGTAATTTATGAATATATAGCTTGATATTTGCTTTTAAATCATTGAAACAAGGTTAATTCAGTCATCAAAATTATTCAAACTAAATTACCCATGATTCCAACATGAATAGAGCTTCCAAACCCCCAAATTCTCACCAAACTCCATAACTATCAATTATGGTTGGATTCTATGAAGTTTAGGGCTCATATTATGGAAATAAAACTAGATTTAACTATTGACAACATATAAGGATCTAGTTTTAGGATTTATGTAACGTCCCAAAAATAAGACCCGAAAATCTTTTATTTTAAATTAATAAAATAGTAACCATATCGTTGTCATAAAACCAAGGTAATCAAATTTTATCAATACATCATAAATAATTAGATTGAATCATAAAATGCGGAACCGAGTGGTGTGTGCTCTACAATCATCCCGAGTTCTTCCCTTTGAAAACAGAAGTACCTGAAACATAAACTGAAAACCGTAAGCACAAAGCTTAGTGAGTTCTCCAAAATACCACATACCATACATATATAAATAAACATACAGTGAGTCCCGCCTTTCATCGGGCCCTGCCCGCCATCGAGCCCCGTTCAGTATACAGATCTGTAAGTCATCGGGCCCCACCCAACAACATATAAACATATAAACATATAAACATGTAAACACATAACACATGCAATAATCACGAAGATATATAGCATACAAAATAGTCATCGAGCCTTGCCCAGTAAGCATACAAGTACATAACACATACAAGAGTCACACATACATCTAGTATCCTAACATAACAAAATCATAGGCCAACATTGGTGCCTTCGACCCGCTAAACATGGTGAGGAAACTCACCTCGCACTACTGAATCCCACAGATAAATCTATGGCTACTGGCCCGCTAGAAACCCACGCGCTACCAATCACAAAATAATCATCCACTCAATAATTGGATCCCAACTCACACAAAGAGTCTAATCTAGGGTAAAAGACATTTTTACCCTTGGCCCAAGGCCTAGGCTCAATCCAATTGTCCAAAAGCCCAAAATCCAAAATAATCACCTCAAGCCCAATTATTGCCTAATTTTCCAAATTGGGCCCAAATCTGTAACAGCCCGAAAATTCAGATAAAAATTTTCATTTAATACATAGAAATTACAATCATGTTTTGTCTTCCAAAATTCCATTTAATCAAATCATATCCAAAAGATCAGAGTATCCAAAACAATAAATGTGGGAATACTAGAGAGTGAGTGTTGCGACATCAAGCCGGGCCCTTCCCCTTAGAACCAGAAGTGCCTGAAACACCCAACAAACTGTAAGCAAACGCTTAGTGAGTTCCCAGAATACACAAAACATACAGCCTCATAATACCATGGAACATATATACATATAGGATTGCTATGGACTCCGTCCATGGTCTTCACCTGGAATGTCATGGGCTACCCCCATGATCTAACATCTAAGGCCCATGGGCTCCCCCATGGTCTTTACTAGGTGTCATGGGCTCCCCCATGGTCTTCACACAAGTCATTACATGTCAACTAACAAAACCATTGCATATCAACTATTAAGTCCACATATCAAGTAATGGGCCAGCATTGGTGTCTTCGACCCATTGGTATAATCAGAAGACTCACCTTAGTCTGCTGAAAACAATAGTTGCTCGACTATCAGCCTAAAATCTCACATTGAATAAATATACAAATAACCCTAATTAGGATTATAACACAACCTAGTCAAAGGGCCCAAAATCCTAAGTCTAAGTCCCTCCATTATGGCCCAAAAGTCTTTTCTTCATTAATGGGCCTAGCATCAAAGTCCAAAACTATAATGGGCCACAAGGCCCAAATTCCAAGAAGAAGATTCCTCATAATGGGTCCAACCAAGCTTATCCTATTTACACTATTGGGTATAAGGCCCAAAAGGCCCAACTCATGACCCTAAAGGCCCACAATAGAAATTGACCCACCTACCTTCACCAGGCCACAACCCACGAGGCAGCCCTAAGCTCCTAAGTCCACATGCGAATCCAATACCGAAGGCCCAAAATACCGAAACCCTCTGCTGAGTACGCGGGGCGTACTCAGCTTGTACGTTAACCGTACACGCTTAAGGGCTTGTACGTTGCGCGTACGAGCTTGTACGCCCAACGTACTCCTCTGATTTGCCAACTATGCCATTAAGCTCTTATTTGGTTCAGACACTTGCTCCAATACTCAGATCTAACCTCTTTGAGGTGGGTAATCACGTAAAGTTGCCAACTTTACGTGCATGCATGGCTTAATGAAGCCCAAAAGCCCAAAAGAACTTAATAAATGTCTTAATGCTTGCATGGAGGTCACAAATGGTTTTGA